CGGGTCGGCTGCGGGACCCCGACCCGAGCCCGTGCGGGGTCTGGTCTGAGCGGTGCAGCCCGGTGCGGGTCCCGGCGGGCAGACGCTGGAGCGCGGGCCGGGTTCGCGGGCTGGAGCTAAGGCGCCCGCACCGTGTTCGGGTGACTGTCGGGAGGACCGGGGGTTCGGGGCGCGACTCCGTGTCTGTGCCGGGTAACGTCTTTGAACGTTCACGGTCTCTTGTCCGGGAGCCTCGTCCCAGAGCCGCGCTCTGGGTTGACTTGCGGCTGGAATCCCAGGACCCCGCGGCCACCGCCGTCCGTGTGCGGACCCCCGGCCCCTCGTGGAAGCCGGGGCCCTGCGGGCGGCCTGGAGCCCCGCCGCGGGGCCGCCTCCCGGGACCTCTCCTCCGGCCCGGCGGCGCCGACCTTTGTCTTCCCCGAAGCGAGAGCTCAGCGGGCAACAGGAGCTCGTAAATAAGTTTTGGAGAGGACCCGTGAAGCCTTCGGGAGTGAATTTTTAAGTTTCATAAATATAAAAAAAAACCCTAATGTCTGAATTTTAGCTTCTAATTTTTCTTATTTCTTAAAACAAGATTTTCCTAGGCAAAAAAATTTTTAAAATCCTGTAATTCTCTTTAGGTCTCGACATTGACGACGCTTTGAAATAGGAGGATTGAGTGTTCCGTCTTTTCTAACAGGGGCTGTTTTGTGAACGGCTGACGGTCACTCCTGTTACCCGACTGCTTAGTGTTTTATCTGGTGGCTCAGGTCTGCGTCTGGGCGAGCGCTGAGCGACCTGCACCTCCGTTCCTTGATTGACAAGCCAGACTGCTGAGTCACTGGCAATGCGGAATGCCAGCTCATGAGTTAAAAGATTTGTTTTTCTGTTTTGTTTACTCTATAAAAAGACAGTTACACGCTGAGTTGTCAAGGCTTGGGCCCCTTCTCTCCTGGGTACGTGCTGCGGGGCACCAATCGGGCCCCGGCCCGGGTGGGCGGAGTCGCCCGAGTCACGTGGGCCTCGGGCTGCCCCAGAAACGTGAGTCCGGCCGATTGGTGGCTGAGGTGGCCCTTGTGCTCCCCTCTTGTTTGATTTGATTACCCCTTGTTTACCTCCGGGGAACCGGGGACCAGAACCCTGGGAGCTGAGCTCCGCTGCGCGGTCCTCAGAGCAAGAGTTTTCTGGCGTCCACGGCTGTTGTTTGCTCCGCCCCACCTCCCTTGTCCCTTCTAGTTAACGCTGTTGACTTCCTTCCCTCAGATAAACAGCCCGGGCGAGTGTGCGGGGGGAGATGGTTCTGTGCCACTTTGTCAGCATCATGGGGCGGGTGGGAGGCTGCCTTCCAGGGGAAGCCCTCCCCGCACTTCTGAGGGACAGGGCGGTGCGCCTCCGCCCGTGACCCTGAGGCAGCCCCGCCTGCGCTTACGCCGCGTGCAGCGGTCAGATGGCGGTTGTCACAGACAGCCCACCGTGGCCCAAGGTGCATGAGGAGGAAGATAGCTGGCAGGTCTTGTATCCTGCAGCTTGAGAAGGGGTTTCGGACAGCTAGATCCCAGCCAGCCCCTAAGCGTCACAGCTGGTCAGTGAGGCTCAGGGCTGAGGGGAAAATGAGGCAGGCAGGCAGCAGCAGTTAAGAAGAAATTGGGGCTTCTGGTGAGAGCTGGTGGGCTCCTTGGAGCCTGAGTGACGGGTGCATCAGACAGGTGGCAGAGGGTTACCAAGCTCCTGTCAGGCTCCAGGAACCTGAATGCTACCGGATTGACTTTCTGTTCAAAATCCCTTGTCAGTCACACTTCCTGTCCCACCTGACTTGAGAAGCTTTTAAAACAGTGTCTCCCCCTCTCCCAGGGAGGAAGCCCTGTGGCTTGGGTGGGAGTCCCTCCAGGCTTTCCGGAGATGTCCTGTGACTAATCCGTTGTGCTGTAGGTCGTTGGTTGGTCCCTCCACTAGCAGGGTCCAACCCTGGCTGCCAGCAGCACCTTAGAGCTTTTCCAAATGAATGCCCCAGGGTCCCACCGCAGCATTCCCAGTCTGGATTTTCAGACCGGCGAGTGAGACTGGTGGAGACCAGGGGCAGGCACCACAGGTGACATGGCCAGGGCTGAGGCCTACTACCCCAGACAGGGTGGGGCTCTGTCAGCTGAGGCTGGAGAGAGCAGTATTTGCCCTGGGACAGAGAGGGCCGTGGGGCTGGGGCTGGTCCCTGGAGTCTCACAGTGGAGGTGGGGACTTAGAAAAGCTGGGGAGCACAGGGTTAACCCACAAGAAATGGGTTAACTCAAGTCTAAAGCTTGTCAGTTTTCCTGTAAAACGACAACATTGGTGGCCCAGGCTTTCCACCCGTCTGCCTTACTCCCGGGCCCTGTGTCTTGTTAGCGTAAATTACAGGGCGGTGTGGGCAGGGACCTGCATCAGGGTGAGGCTGGCCTGGGTCGGCAACTCACCACCTGGTTTTGTTTTCTGAGGCCTAATTATACCAGTTATTTGGGTTATTTGCGATCCTGGGGAGGTGCTGTAAGGGTGTGAGGCGGCCTGACCCCCGTCCTTCCTGCTCAGAAGGTGAGGGTCTTCAGTGCAGGGGGAAGCAGATCAACAGCCCCCCTGGGCTTCATTTTCCAGGAAGCTGCCTCCCTGACCAGCTGCTGTAGGTTAATAATAAAACCTGTCCTTTAGTAAATCATTCTTGGAATACAGCTTTTGGACTCAGCTTCTGCCGTGACAACCAGAATGGGGTTTCCCTTAAGGATGCTTGGGACTTTCTGTGAGGTGATTCTGAAGCTCGTGTGTTTGTCTTCCTAGACTCCTCACTTGGCCCTTGTGGTAAACTAAACGTACACGCTGGAACGTAATGTTACATGTCCACTATGTCCAGATAAACACAACATATCGATTTAACCTTTGTCCCTGGCTCCTGACCCAGAGCTCAGCTCTAAAACCCTTGGAATGTCCTGAGTGAAGGGGGCAGCTTGTTACTCATTAAGAGCCCCTTGTGTAAGAAGCCCCCTTGGAAAACACTCGAGTCTGTGCTAAGGAGGTGGCTCGGGCTGGGAGCGGGAAAGACAGAGGAGACAGTTAGGAGGGTGGGCAGTCTGTACCCACTCCCCTCACCCACCCCCTGGAGGGGGAGGAGGCTGGAGATGGGTTTGAACGCGGTTGCTGAACCCACCGAAGCCCTGGGGAGGGCACGGTGCCTGTCCCCACGGCGTGCCCGTGAGCTCTTGCAGCGGGCTGTTGCTGAGTTGAGTTCTTTCTGAGAGTGGGTGCGTGTAAGCAGCCTATCTCCTGTGAGTTGTTCCAGTGAACTGCTGACGCGAGCCGGGGCTGTTGGGGCCTCTGATTTCCTAGGCTGCGGGCAGAGGCGAGAGTAGCCTGGACGTGGTGTTTGAGTTCATCTGATCAGGGCCAGTCTCCTGGGATCTGACACTAGCCCCAGGTAGCGTCAAAACTGAATGGCTGGACAGCCAGTTGGTGTTGGAAAATCGGTGACTGGTGTCGCCCCACCTCCCCTGGCCCCCATTTCATGTCAGAAGTGGTGTCAGGAAAGATACTGGCCTTCAGACGCCACGTGTGTCAGACCCGTACGTGAAAGTGACCTGGGCTGCCGGGCCAGAGCCTAGGAGGACGGAGCCGGGCCCAGAGCAGGGCCTGCGGTTCTGTCCGTGCTGCGGGGCCGGAGCTGGCTGGTTGAGTGTCACCTGGCCTCACCTGGGAAGGAAGGCGGGCTAGTGAAGGACTTGCACACTTGAGCCTCTTTTGCGGCGGTGCTCCAGGGCTCGCCTGGCCTGCGTCCCCGCTGGAGCGGCCCCAGCCTTGGTGCAGCTGGGGAAGACGAGCGTCCCAGGAACGGAGTCCACTGACAGGCAGAGGCTGAGCGGCCTGGGCTTTGTCCACTGAGTCCTGGGCTCCAAGACAGACCCTGCCTTCCTTGTGTGGGCCCGGCCAACATGAACTTGAGGCTGGAAAGTGCATTCATTTGAAAACGTGTGATCATTCTGTGAGCAGCAGCCGAGTGCAGCCTGGCGACGGGTAAGCCCCAGCTCGCGTCTCACTCCCGGACCTTTGCTTTGCTGCTCTCCCTGCCGCTCGGGCTGGTTCTGCTGCAGGCGGCTGCCCCGTGCCAGCGGGCACAGCTCCTCCAGCCGACACGGCCCGGAGCCGCGGGGAGCTGCGGTGGGGCCCGTGCCGCCCTGCGGCCACCCTGACCGCAGCAGCAGGAGGGGGCCACC